ACATAAATATCAATGCGCACGACCATACGGAAAACCCTCGCCCCATCAGAACGATATTCCCTCCAACACAGAATATGGAATTATTATCAATCACTGAGAATGGAACAAGTATGCAGATTCGAGTTCAACAAGACAATCCAGTCATGATGTTTTAGGACATAATGACACAACTTCTGCAGCGGATACAATACAGTCTAGTAGTACAAGTCAAGTGAGATCTACAAGTCCTGTTGTCTCAGAACAAAATGAATCAGCCTCTGCAACTAGCAATTCTGTGAATGTAGCAAATTCTGATCTTGCAAGTGTCCCCATCATCATCACCATCACTCTGGTACACAAGTTACATCTCAATCACCTTTGTTGCCTATCCATCACAGTTCTCAACTTGAGGTACTCCTTCCACCTATTTCACCAATATCTCATTCTTTATCTAAAAGGCCTATGGAGAATCAAATTGTTACTTCAACTCATCCAATGGTGACAAGACTAAGAAGTGGTGCAGAGAGGAAACATTATGCTGCTTATCTAGCTAATTTTCCTGAACTTCAAACACTACAATTAAGTGATGACGACTCATTTCATGGAGGATATTCCTTTATCTCAGAGATTATAGATGCAACTGAACCTACATGCTTTAGGAAAGTTGTATCAATTCCTCAATGGCAAAGTGCAATGCAGGAGGAATATGACTCACTTAGAGCTCAGGGTACATGTACCTTGGTTCCAGCTCCTAAAAATAGATCTATTGTGGGTAGTAAGTAGGTTTACAAGGTTAAAAAGAACCCAGATGGTATTGTTTCAAGGTACAAGGCCAAATTGGTTGCACAAGGCTTTTCTCAAGAACATGGGGTTGATTACACTGAAACCTTCAGTCTAGTAGTAAGGCATACAACAATGAGGATTATACTTGTTATTGCTACATCGAATCATTGGGAGTTGAGACAATTAGACATAATGAATCATTTTTGCATGGAGATTTGCAAAAGGAGGTGTATATGAAGCAACCTCAGAGATTTGTTGATAGTTCTTATCCAACACATGTCTGCAAATTATTAAAGTCACTTTATAGTTTGAAACAAGCTCCAAGAGCTTGGAATTCAAAATTTACAAGCTATCTTTCAGTTATACGGTTTTTTGCATCACCCTCCGATTCAAGTTTATTCTTGAAGACAGAAGATGGGGAGACTATCATACTACTTCTATATGTAGATGATATAATTCTCACTGGATCAAGTTCTATTAAAATCCAGAGAACCATTTGAAGAACTAGCTACAATATTTGACTTGAAAGATTTGGGGAAGCTTACATATATTCTGGTTTGTAGATACAATATAGGCCAAATGGTGACATTTTTGCTAATTAAGCTAAGTATGTAAGGGATTTGATTCATAAAGCAGGCATGGACTCTTGTAAACCAGCTACAACACCTTGCAAACCTCATAACCAATTACTTGCACAGAAAGGACAATGCTTACAAATCCAAGTTTGTATAGGAGTATTGTAGGATCATTGCAATATCTTACCTTCATTAGGCCTGATATTGCTTTTGTTGTCAACTCAGTTTGCCAATTCATGACAACTCCAACAGATTTACATTTTGGGGCAATAAGAAGATCTTGAGAAATCTTCAAGGAACAATAAATCATGGCATAGTGTATTCAGCAAAGTCAAAATCCAACTTAGTAGCTTTTTTAGATTCAAACTGAGCAGCTAATTTAAACACTAGAAGATCTGTGACGGGCTATGTTGTGTTTATTGGGAACAATCCTATGTCGTGGAAATCAAAGAAACATTCCAGTCTCAAGGAGTTCAATTGAAGCAGAATACAAAGCTCTTGCTTACACTGCAGCTAATATTGCTTGGGTGAGACAGATTTTGAAGGATGTAAAATTTTATGTCCCTTATCCACCCATCATACATTGTGATAATATGTAAGCTATATCATTGAGTGCTAATCCTATTTTTCACTCAAGGATAAAACATTTAGATACGAACTATCACTTTGTAAGAGAAAGAGTGCAAAAGGGTGATTTGGAGGCGCTCTACATACCTATGGAAGATCAGATAGCAGATGTGTTAACCAAGGCTTACACAGTCCCTCATTTCTTATGCATTGCTACAATCTTAAGCTAGGAGATCCCAGCTAAGATTGAGGGGGGATGTTGACTATCATTGACTAAATGCCAACTCAACATAGTTTGTTGTAATATGGTGCTGCAACAGTTGCCAACTTAGCATAGTTAGTTGTAATGTGGTGCTGCAATTGGTTTAGACAGTTAGGATAGTTGTTAGCTTGTAAGCTAAGGCACTACAGCTATATAAGCTGGCATTCTCTGTAATTCTCTTAAGTTTTTCTTACATTCAATACAAACAAAATACTTTTCTAAGGCCTTCCCTCTATTTGCTCTATTACTTTCTTGTTCTTAAATCTTCTGCAACTGTTATAGTTCTTCTTTTTCTGCATTGTTAACATCTGCCTCAACGGCTTAGTATATAATTGTATCAACCATGTCTTCGTGAGCAAGGGAGGGGACTTGAAATTGATCAGAAAGGGTTCGGGATATTTCAGTGCGCATGTCATCTTGATAGTTAGACTACTGAAGTTCGATTATGGCCTCGCTGTCTTCCACACTCCAGTTATCCTCATTTAAAAATAAGGATTTGTCATTGTCAAATTTAACGGGGTGTTGCGGCACGCATCGCCAGATCATGGCCCTGATATCCATCAAGAACTTGTTATGTAGCAAGTTCTGGCCGCTTTCGGGTTCAGTAACTCGTTGCGGCCATGCCCTACAATAAGCATCACCCACCGCTTTCCAATTTTCAGCGGCCATGAATATTTATATCTCGAGTACAAAAAAGACTAAGAAAGAAAACGATGCAGACCCAGCTGTATATGCTTTCAAGTTTGAATAGTAGGGTTTCCAAACTGAAGATAACTCTGGAAATTATGGAGAAGGTACACTGTATATCTGCTGATTCAGCAATATAAATAATTGGAGTGGGAGATTTTAATTTTTTCATACTAAATGTTCAAAAAAATTTCTATTGGGATTCTTAATTGGTTTCCAAATTTTCAAATCCTGCCTGCAGATAACGTTTTGAAGGGATGTGAATCCTGCTGAGACCTGAGAGTATTAATGTAAAACCTTATACGGGGCCTATATTAGATTTCTTTCCCTTTTTATTGGATTTCTAATTCCTTCTTTTTCTTGGATTTCTTTCCATTTCTAAAAATATAACTAAAACTTATGGAAAATTCTACCTTACCTTGTTAAAAAGAAAGGTATCGGTATCTTTTAATATTATAATATTTTACAATTATCTTAGACTATTGATAAGTTCAACGAATGATCTTGACCGTTAGATACAATTTGTTTTAATAAAAATTGAGGATTATCTTAATTATATCATTGATTAATTTTTTGTTTTTAATAAACGAGTTATCTCTATGGTATCCTGCGTTTGTTTTTTCTTTTCTTTTCTGTGTCAACTTCACCAATTCTTCCGATAACGCATTTTTAATCTCCAAATCGAGTTCCCCACCTTTGACGTCAACTTCTCTATATTTCATTGAAAGTGCGTTTGTTCTTCCTTGTTAGCATAATTGTACTCTTTAGGTCATCTTTCTCTTCACAAATCGAGTTCCCAAAAATTTCTGCAATCTCATGTAGGGTTCGCCCACTTGAAGGTTATTCGACCTAATTTTGTTTTGTGACATGGCCAACATCGAAGAATAGTCCAACGATGATGACTCTTGTTACGATAGAGAGCACAAAGATGATAATGCACCGTACAATAATGAATACAATGATGGTTTTGGAGATTTTGATGAAGGCTTGCACAGTCATCGCAATATATATTACGACGACTGTGAAGGTGTGGATGTGTTAATACTATGACTAATGAGGGGTAGGGTTTACTGTTTTTGTTGTCAATGTTATAATTCAACTTCTAGGTTATATGAACTTGAATTATTCTCCTTGATATTTAATTGTTTACATGAATTCAGCAATATGATTAATTAAGATCATGTTTACGGTCGTAGCTTATTTGGTTACAATTTTTACATAGACAGTGGTGGATAGATTATGATGGCTATAAAGGTGAGGATATCCCTTAATATGACTTAATCTTGTGATGGCTATAAAGGTGTGGCTTATTTGGTAACAATTTTATACACATTAAATGAAGAGGTAGAGGAGTGAGCTAGAGCTAAGGCTTATAATAAGCTTGCCATAATAATATGGTTCAAATTTGTTTTTGACGAAAATCGAACCTAAGACCTCTTATTTACAAGTGATGAGGAATACCACTAGACCGTAATACTAAAGGTTGGTTTAGGATTTTAGTGCTTTAAAAAAAATAATGGGAAAATTTGTAACATCAACTGTGTTTGGTAAAACAAAAAAATGTGTTGTCATTGACAGCTGAAAAAAAAAAGAAAAATAGAAATAGGGTCTACCATGGTTCTAAAAAAATATATTTTTTTTAAAAGCATAGTAATTAGTGTCAATTTTCAAATGATAAATATACCCCTCATATTTTACAAAATTATATTTATTGTCCCTACATTATTTTATTTGACAATTATTATATCATATTAAATACCATATATTTTTCAATCATTTAACATATTCATAGAAATTTATATAAAAATTTATCAAATACTCAAGGACTATTTTCTTGTTAAAAACACTTTTACAAAAGAAGGGGCAACAGAGAATAAACATCTTGGGTAAATAGTTGTATTGTACTTTTGGTCATTAGTAAAAATGTTGTACAAAAGCGATTTGTATGGTTGGGCATGGGAACCGTGCGGGAGGGCGTTGAGCATCAAAACCTATCCCCAATCAATCCCTTCCTAATATCATCACTCAGATCCTGACCCTTCATCTCGCGTACCACCACTCAGAAGTTGACTACCTCAACGGCCCTGATCCATCCGATCTGAAAAAGTAAAAGAGTTTAAAATTACAAAACGAGGACTTTGGAGGCGGTTCTGACGGCCAAAACAGAACAAAGAAGAGGAGAGAGAGAGAGAGAGAGAGAGAGGGAGATGGATAAGTAGGTGAGGTGGGCAGCAGGCAGAAGAGCGAAGAGAGAGGTTCCCTTCCCCAAACAGCTCACAGCGAAAAACCAAAACACTCACAAATCTCACGTTTTGCTTTCTCTCTCAACAATTTCATCAAACACCTTGTCTGCAAGCTTCAAAATTCCCCCTTCCAATTCTGCGAATGCTCTAGAATCTCTCTTCTGTGTCTCTCCATTCTTTCTCTATCTTATTCTCTGAAGGAAGAAGACAATGGAGTCCACTGAGTCCTCCTACATGTCGTCACCGGAGGCCCCACGGAGGCGCTCATCGCCGCCGCCGCCCAAATCACCGGGTTCGGGTATCTCTTTCTTTCTCTCAGTCTCCCCTTCTCTGATCTGATCCACTTTCTCTCTCTATTGTCTTTCTATTACATGTCTGTGAAATGTGTATATAGTGGTGATATCTGTTGTTTTTATACTTTATATGTTCGATGGAGTTGTACAATAATGGCAATGTAAGCTTCCTTCAAGTTAATTCCTTTGTTCTCTGTAAACTGAAACCCTAACCCTAGCCCTAAGCCCCACAATTGGGTTGTTTGCTGAGAAAATAGTAGGGGATTCCAATTGAAGGAATATAGGGTTGTGAATTACGTTTAAACATGTTGGATTGGGTTGGGAAAGTAATTTGAATAATTTCGTGTTCTGAACTGATGCCGATGCGAGGGAATTTCGTATAATTGATATTTACGGCATAAATAGGATTTTGATGCATGTGTCTTAAGAGTGAAAGCTCAACTAGGATCTGATTTCTGTAAGTCTTAAATGCCTTGGGTTTTAATCTTTTATTTCTCCTCCTATTCAACTGCTAAATTGCGTCTTAGAAATTATTGGATTTTCACGGGGGCGTGTGGAATTGCCTTTTTTTCAGAAATGCTTGTTAATTACCGTATGTTGGAATTGTCTTGTGATTTCTGGGCCAATGTTTTTCTCTCGGTACTTTTGTGTTGATTTGGTTAGAATTTCAAATGCCTGTACATTATTGCTAAATAAATCCAATAAAAACTCAATTTGGTAATTGGCCAAATGCTTTATTATATTAGCTTCTATGTAATAGATCCTCTGTGGATAATAGACTAGGGAACTGCTTAGTTTCAGACTTTTAACTCACTCTATACAATGGAACAAATTTAAGCAAAGGCGAAGAGGGCGAGCTTAGCGACTGTAAACTGCTCACAGTTGTTCCTTTGCTTTACTTCTGCTTTGGCTGTTTCTGTTTGAGCTCTTGATATTTAATCTTTTCAAGTCGTTTTTGTATATGTAGTATTGCTGTTATGATTTGAACCAATGATTTCCCAAACACAAGTTAACTCGAATATGTTGTCGGAAATGTAATAAACCAGCCTCATTATACTTATGCAGTAGTTTTCTTCTATTTTGCTTGTTCCAGATTCTGCGGAGAAGTCTACATATGTTAGGTTTCTGGTGTCAAATGCTGCAGCTGGTTCTGTTATTGGAAAGGGTGGTGCAACAATCACTGATTTTCAATCGCAATCTGGAGCAAGAATTCAGTTGTCGCGCAATCATGAGTTTTTCCCTGGAACAACTGATAGGATTATTATGATTTCTGGAACAATTAATGAAATAGTCAAGGCTGTGGACCTTGTTCTTGCTAAGTTACTGAGTGAGGTACTTTTTCTGATGCAGGTTTACAATTTATAAGTTTTAAACTATTAGTAAACTAGATTTTTCTGGTGCTAATTGTGCTTTTCCTGTGTTGGTCAGCTTCATTCTGAAGAAACTGAAGAAGTGGAACCAAGAACAAAGCTGAGATTAGTTGTTCCAAATAGTTCTTGTGGTGGCATAATTGGGAAAGGAGGATCTACCATAAAGTAAGGACACAACTTCATGGATTTTTTAGTATCCTTACTCAATCTTGACATGCTTATAGAATATAAAATCTGAATTCTTGTTGGTAAAACTAAGCACTTTTTTGTTTTATCGTTCCCTTCAATAATAATAACAAAACAAACTCATCCTCCCTGGTGTTTGTACTTCTCTGAAGCATGTTCTTACTTCACTACGGACATAGCTAGGATACTTGAAAAAACCTAGAAATGCAAGAAAAGGCGAGTATAAACAAATTTGGATATCAGAGTTTTCTGCTGTCAGAAACTAAGAATCAGTAAGGTTTTTTTCTAAATTGGTGGATTTACAATAATAAAATTGTTCAGATGTGAATATTATTTTGGGGGGAGTCAACTCCTTAGTGTTGGGTTTCTGGTGTGCTCACTAACATAATCATTGAGTGAACTGGAGGTGTAATGATTTGAAAAATGATGTGTGCATTGTCATCTGGAGGTGACATGATGCCAGGTGGGCTGTTGTATAAAGTCTATTGGCTAAATTGATTACTAATATGATTGCATAGACTCAAGATGCATCACTCAAGATGGAGAAGCATTATTTGATACAGAGAATTGTTCTGCTTGAGGCTGGTTCATACATCCTATTGTTGGAGTCCTGTCATATCTAAAAAATTGTTTCAGATGAAATACTTGATTATCTTGTGTTGGGTTTTACGGCTCAAAATTAGGATGATGCAAAAAATTAGGTTTGTGTTACCTATGTGGTTTTGGTGTTCTATTTGGGTTTGGATTTTGACTTCTTAGTTGGTTTCCTTGGTGGAGAGATTTTGTTAATTACCTATTTGATTAGGTTTTGGATTTACTTCCTATTAGAATTCTTATTGTAACCTAAGTCCTGTGCACTATAAATAGGATCTTAGGGTTAGTGTATTTTGTGTGGCTCATTTGTGTGGCAATTTGGTGAGAGTCAATTTGTGAGTTAGAGAGCAATTTGGGAGAATCTTCTCCGTTTGTTTGGGTTCTCTACTTGTTTGGGTCAAGGTTTGTAATTTGTGGGTTTTGAGTGGTGAGAGTTTAAATACTCTTTTGTAATCTCCGTTTGTTTAGTGAAATTCCTTGCCGTGCTTCGCTTGTGGACGTAGGTTTTACGTCGAACCACGTAAATCTCTTTTGTTAGTTTGAGATTGTTTTAGCTTTCACCTACGACGTTGATATTGGTACTTTGTTAGAATTTGCGTCCGTTTGTGCATAAAAGTACAACATCTTGTTCAGCTGTTGCCCAAAAAAGAAAGATTGTCTTGTTCAGCTATTCAGATTTGAAGGATATCATGACCTAAGTAGAGAAATTTATAGATGTTGAGTAGACAAGTAGCAGAGATACACAATTTGCTAGATTAGAAGATGTATATATATTATATCGAGGATACAGCTTTTTATGAAAATAAAAACAATACGTGCAGTGACTAGGAGTCTGCATCGGCAACTTTATTAAGTGGAGGTTTTGGCAATTAATTTCCCCTTCCTGTTTATGTTGTCATTTGTTTGTTTAATGAGATAGCTGGGTTTAGGCTTCTCTTTACATGAGAAAAGCCATGGCCCGTGCTTATGCCCTGTTGATATCCCGTAGTTACTCTTCATGAAAGTGTTATTGAACGCTGAAGTCTTTTTGTTGGTTAAGGTTTTCAAACTGATACTTTTAACTCATAGTTGATGAAAGTTTCAATGATGTTCAATTATAGATTTAGGGTCCTCATTTGTATGTATGTCACCCAACAAAATAATTAAAGAAGTTGCTAACATTTAAGATTTCCTTTGACCAGGTCATTTATTGAAGAATCACAAGCTGGAATTAAAATATCACCACAAGACAATAATTATTTTGGTTTGAATGATCGGCTGGTGACAGTAACAGGAAGTCTGGATGAACAGATGCGAGCAGTTGATTTAATTGTTTCTAAGTTATCTGAAGACTCGCATTATGCTCAGTCTATGAATGCCCCATTTTCATATCCAGGTGTGTCCGCTTATGATCATATTCTTAATTTATTGTTCTCAAAATAAATAAATAAATTCAAGATAAATAAAAAACATTAAAAATTTGTAATTTATATAGACTTAGTGTGTTTGTGTGCACATACGATTCAAATGTAGTGTAGTGAACATGACTTATTGAGGTTATAGAGGTCTTTCTTAATGTGTTTTTGCTTCACCTTGAAATGTGATCCATTAGCTTGGTTTCAAATAGTGAGAGATTTTTATACATTCCATTAATTTTTGTGCAAAATATTTTACAGAGTAAAACATTTTAGACCTAAAATGAACTTTTCTGGGAAGTAGACAAATCGGTGTCCTCATTCTATTCTAAACAAGAGAAGTTCCAGTTTTGATCTTCATTTCCCCCCGAAGGGGAAAAAAATAGATCATAACCAATAAAAGAATGTGCATAGTTTTAAGTGTGTTATCACTAGAAAACCAATTGTGTAGAAAAGGCATTTCCTACCATTTTCCATTGCTTATAATATTGAAATGGATTTGAAAAACTGAAATGCAAAATAAGAGAGATCAATTTCTATTAAATGTGTTCTGATATAAAATAAATTGGTAGAGTAGAATGAAAGAGACATTATTTTAGTTTCTGTGAAAACGTTCTAAACTTCTTTAAGTTGATGTTCTTGTGTGTGAAATAGAAGGACATGTTTGTGACTTCTCTTTTCCTTGGTTTGCTCTATGTGCGTGCATTTGACTCTTCTAGTTAAACCACACTTAAAATGTTATTGGACACAGCTAATAAATTTGGACTCAGGGACCAGGATCCAAATATCTCTTTATTTATTTTCTAGGCAATTGACGGGAACGACCTGGGTTTGCACCAGGACAAGCCCTTGGGAAGTAGGTGGATTTTAGGAGGGAGGTATCCCTGTAGGGTTTGGTTCTGGACATGCTTCATTTATAACAATTTTTTGACAATACTGATAATCAAATGAAATTCTTTAATACTAAAATTCTGTGCTTGTGAATAGAGGTTCTGGATGGCCATTTGTTTCATAGTATGATTGCATAATTTCATATAATTGCCTAGATTGGACTCTATACAAAATTATTATGGCGAGATTTAATTCCTAGTAAGTTCACTCCAACCGAACTTATAGGTGTTTTCTTCTTGGGTTTTCATGGTATCCAATATACATTTGTGCTTCCTTCTGTTGCAACAGCAGCGTACAATGCAATGAGTTATGGACCACCAAATGGGACTGGAGGAAAATTTCAGAATGCTAAGGTTCATCCTTTTCCCACTGAGTTATTATCTTCTTTTAAATTAACAGACGTTCAGGGACTTGTGATATAATTTGAACAGATATGCTTAGTAAGTTTTCGTTTTCTAGACTTGTTAGTGTTGGCCTGGGATAGTAGTTCAGAATTCACTTTAAGTTTTACAAAAGTTATACGGGACAGTGGATGTGCTTGAAAACATGTCAAATGGTTCTTTTGGGGGCTGGTAGTCTGTTTGGAAGTAGAAAATGCTGCATGAACCTTATTTCCATGATGGTTAAAACATGCAATGGAATGGTAACTTGTCGTTTGATAGCAAGTGCATAATTATCATGCTATCTATATGTTTATGTTCTTGTTTTCTTCTTGACTATAAAAATTATGTTGTTTTCCAGGAGGATCGGAGTAACTCGGTTACGATTGGCGTAGCAGACGAGCATATTGGGTTGGTTCTTGGTCGTGGTGGAAGGACCATAACGGAGATTAGTCAGGTTTTATAAATACCACCTTAATATCTTTTAGCTTCATAACATATGCAGAAACCCTAACCAGAGCACTTTCGTTTGGCAGGGTAGTGGAGCCAAGATAAAGATATCTGATAGGGGTGACTTCATGTCTGGAACTACTGACAGGTATTATAAATCATGGTATCCTATATCTTCTCCTCTGCGCGACCATGTCCAAATCATAACTTTCCATCATGTGTCTTGTTCTGCAGGAAGGTGACAATCACGGGGTCACAGAGGGCAATCCATGCTGCTGAGTCCATGATAATGCAGAAAGTATCCTATGCATCCGAGAGGGCAATGGATTAACTTTCCAAGCGTCAGAACTCATTCTCTTTGAGAATCTCGTGGTGGAGCTGCCCAAATTATTTCTTATACATTTTCTGGTATTGAAGTGTGTCCACTTACATTCTCAGAGTATGATAATTTGGTTGAGAACATCTGAATGCTGTGGTAGGAAGCAAGAACAGGAAGAAATTTCTTTTTGTCTGGAGAGCAATTTATATTTTATAGGGACTTATATGAGATGACCTGTATTTTCAAAAGGGAAAATGTTGAAGAAAGCAATTATTTATTGACTAAAGAGAATGATTAGCTTTATTTCTTAATTTATACAGTTGTAACTTCTGAATTTGTAGGTGTTGTCTGAAATCAAGTTTGATAATGGAAAATTTGTTCTTCTGCGTCCCGGGTTAAAACCCCTCCCCCTCGCGCAATCTGCGAAGGCTTGTAGCTCGAGTACGTAGAAGTAGAGATTTTGTGTTGCATTTCCTCCTATCAGTGTATGGCTGAGCCTGAAAAAAATAAAAGAGGGACAAAACTTCCAAATATATACTATAGGGGATGCTTTTGTCACTAGTGGTCACCATTTAATTAGCGAGTTAAATTGTGCACGCAGATTAGTGGTCACCATCCTACACCTTAACCCTAAATTGACTGCTATATATAGAGGTCATAAGGAGAAGGTTAATGTATGAGTTCCAATTAACCGCCGAAATTCCCATGAGGAATTTCTTCCTCACACCCTTTACACAAATATCTCTCCCTATGGTTCAATACCACGAGGCGTAGGCGGGAGAGGACTACGTAGGTTTGATTCATGTGCTAGAGCATAGAGCACGTAGACAATCTAGCCGGGCTTGATGCAACCTAATCCTAGAAATGGTGGAGTTCGTGCTTGCAAATAAAAATGGCTTGTATCTTAGAGTTGTTGGAAGTATAACGATTGGTCAATATGTACAAGCTCATATTTAATTGAAGAGAATTAGGGTCAATATACTTTCTTTTTGCCATTGCTATCTTCAAGGCTTAATTAATAGTTTCAATATTATGAAAAGTTTGGAGAATGTTGAATTGATGATCAAAGTAATTCTGTAGGCAAGAATAATATATGAAATTGTGTACTATTCACTCAAATAGAAGAATTCCAGTACCTTGATATATTATGTAGAGTGTTTGATTGTACGTTTAAGAAATAAAATTATCCATGTTAAAGTGGAATTCATTGAGATAGTAGAGGTAGATCAGGTGAAGTTATCCTAGGATTTATGTAATATTTTAATCCTTGAAAATTAATATGGGTTGACATTGTTAGCTAGTAGAGGATTAGAAAAGTGATAATTTGAAATATTGGTTCTTCAATGGCATCGTGAAATTAGTTTCAAACTGACGTCATAAAGCGATAGATAAGTTTTAGCTTCTTGGTATGTGATTAGTGGTTCACAAAGAGTTTAAATATTTTGGACAACAATGCGTGTATGGATTTACGAAATTACTTGGAAGAGTATTAAAATTAAGTTGAAATCCCTTGAGAATGTGGAAAAAAAAAAATATTGATGACATAATATTTGAAGGATTTTTTTGCCTTGAACTTGTACTATTGTGACAGATTGCGTAAGATAAAATATTTTATGGTTGATATATATATAAAGTGAGTAATGCATTTGTAGAAAAATTTGACATTAAAAATGGGGATTGTTGATGTCGAAGAATTACCTTGAGCTTACCCTAGTTGGGGATTTTTGATAACTATTGCATTGGTGGAAATTGAGAAGATTACTTGAGCAACCAAGTCAGTTTTGGAAGAAAACTGATCTTTCATGGTTTGTAGTATTACTCTGTAAGATTGGTATCTACTAGAATTGTCCATTATAAAAGTCATTTATTTAGATTTTAGTGAAGAGAATACAATCAAATTTAAGGTCATGTTAATTACTATATAAATCCCATGAATTCATGTGTGAGCATGATCATAGATGTTGAAGTTCTGCATATTAAGATAGGGTGAACTGTTAGAAAGTTTAGTGTCACGTTTGAAGTTAGAATACAAGACCTAACAAATTCCTAGGACGAAATTTCTTTAAGGAGGAGAGATTGTGAAACCTCATATACTTAAGTTATTATTATTATTGTTTTGTTTTATTATGGAAACCATGCTTATGCGTCGTCATAAGTTTATAAGGTGGGCGGCGAGTGGGTCTTGTGCGTTTTTATGTTTTGGTTCCACAATGGTTTTGGTGAGATTTTGATTTTTGAGTGCATGTAGAGGTGACCTGCTGTTTCGTTGGCAGCAAATCATTCTCAGTTATTCAAGCTATCCTGGGTAAGAGTTAGGTCGAGAGAAAAAACTCACTCGTGATATGCAAGTTTTTTTCCGACGAATATATTGTGTACACATTTCTATGAACGAGGTGCTTTATTATTGTATTTTTAAATTATTTTGTCGTTGCATGGTTTGTACTTCACGCATTTTAAAGTGTGTATCGAATAGGGTAGGCACCAATCCAACTTACCAATCAAACGGTCTCAAAACCTAACCAAACGTTTCATGCATAATGTATGACAAACAGTATTTTCACTCAGGGTGGAATGGAGTTGAAGAGAAATACCCTATTAAAGAGGAATATTCTATCCATCAGAACAATCTATCACTTAAATAAAGATGTTTACAATAGTGAAATACAGTTTTACTCTAAAACAACAAAAACGTTCAAGAAAAGTCGAATCTAGTCTAATAAGTTTAACAAAAGAAAATTGAGCTTTGTATTAGTAGTATAGTAGGAGTAACAATGTGATTAATATCGAAGGGTGACATATCCACCACCGCGTATACATAGTGGTGTTGAAGCTGAGCATTTTATTTCAATCATGAATGGACAAAGATGATGAATTATCTAACAATGGAATAGTTCACGTAATTAATATGATCATGTTCATGGTGAATCATCCCCACCTCCTTCACCATATCCAGACCCATAACCCTCCCCGTAACCAGAGCCACTACCACCACGATGGCCACTTCCACCACCACCACCGCCGCCACCGCCTCCTCCACCGCCCCCACCACCACCGTCCTTGCCACCTCCACTACCGTAGCCACTTCCACTTCCATAACCTGACCCACTTCCTGTACTTGAGCCTCCACCACCTCCTCCCCCACCACCACCACCGCCGCCTCCTCCACCTCCACCTCTTCCTTTCCCACCACCAGATCCATAACCAGAGCCACCACCAGACCCATATCCAGACCCAAAACCACCGTATCCACCACCACCGCCGCCTCCTTCACCTCCACCGCCTCCGCCTCCACCTTCAGTACCATACCCTGAACCACTCCCATACCCATGCCCCGAACCATACCCAGACTCGGACCCAAAGACTGAACCACCCCCTCCACCACCTCCACCGCCACCACCGCCGCCGCTACCACCCCCAGTGGCCTTTAACGGTCTAGAAGCAAAGGAGAGCTCCACAAGCAGCAAAACCAAGAATGCAGCACCAATGACCCTAGTGCTGGCCATATTCAAACTTGAAAAACTTAATGTCCGTTGGTTAAGATTGTTTTTGAGATCAATGTGATTCTTTAGTGTAATGTGTTGGTTGAGACTTGTGAGTGAAGTATCTTGAGAAACCAAATACTTTGTGAGTAGACAAGGTTAAGGGTTAGTGTCTATATATAGGCATCAGAAAGCTAAGGGCACTATCCGAACTTTGTTGACATTAATATTCTACTACCTTCCTTTTGCACTTACTAAATTATAATCAAAACGTGTACGTGTACGGTTTTTTATTAGTGGCATTGGCGGTGGTGGTGGCTGGTGGGTGTGACGGTGGTGGTATTGTGGGTGATACCTTTGTTCCTGTCCTCATGCAATTCCTTGCTGTTGAATATAAGTCCACTTCCACTTTTGACTCCAATGGTCCTAAAGATATACCTAGAAAAAATGGGACCATGCCAATAAGATGCAATCACACTTCAATTCTGTGCTGGATCGATACACGAATGCCACAACGAGTACGTGAGTTTTCTATTAATATATATTTCCCAATGAATCAAATAGTAGTGTTAATTTGTGGTGATGAGTTTTACATGTGTCTTCTTAAGCAACATTTTCACTTGAGAGAACCAATCATAATAGCAAAAGATATGACACCTTACGCGGTGGGAATTCTATAGCCATGCAACTGTTTTGAAAATGAAAAAAATATATGTAGAACACCACTATTGGCATAAACTATTATTCCAAATTTTTAATGCCAATTGATTAATGTGATGATGTATTTAGATAAAGCTAAGCTATACCGAATAATAGTTTATCCATTAACTCGTCTGTTGGTTACCATATTGACTAACTTGGTGTTTTCTATATTCAACAATTTATGGAGTATTTGTTAGCCTTATAAGGTTATACAATTAAACTACAAACGAAGGAGTGATTGACCTGATTCCAATGGTGGGCATGGAAGTCGAACACAAAAGTAGTAGAGCACGGCAACACCAAGATCTTCTATAAACACCTAGCCGAATACAACTACTCTATGGGAAGCATTATGTTTTGTGTTCTAGGGCTTATAGGGGCCGTTGTTTTTATATAGGCTAAAGGCTAGGGTTTCCATCCATAAAGGAAACCCAAACTTACTTTATTAGCCTCCAAGTGAAGTATCATAATCATATTCAATTAAGGATTCCATCAATCCTATTTCCAATATAAGACACCTTATTAGGATTGATATATTTAAGAGATCAAATCATAATTAACATTATTCTCCAATATTACATTCCTATTACATGTAGTAGACCATTTAAAGGTTGATTTATATTGGATAAATCCAACATTCTCCCACATGGTCTACAAAATGTAATATTCACGTTTATACTTGAGATTGGATATTAATGTCACTTTAGTGGCCATGTAATAGTAATTACATCTCGTCCTTAATGTAGCTTCTGTCAAATGCATTTCTTAACATGGAACTAACAAGGTTGTAGGGTTGACACAACCCAGAACCTTCATAATCACACATGCTATGATCCTCATTCACATGAAACACAAATTACGATCAAGAGATGAAACTTTAAATTAACCAAAATGTCTTACTTTATATCATCTCAGGTCCAGCTTATTGTAACTCACAAGTTACACCTTATGCTTCTTCGAAGCCTTAAATCTGCCAATGCAAATATCTTTCATCCAATGAAACCACCATAACCTGCAGATGTGAATACATCTCCAAAACAATCATGCATCATTTTCATTAGACCAATAACAATACAAACAATGTTTATAACCAACGAACACAACTGAAAATACCAAATAGGCACATGTCCAAGTAAAATATCCCAAAACTTCATAAAACAAATTAATTCAACACTTGTGAGCAAGATGAATTAATATGTTTTTGACACTGATCTATGCACCATACAAGTTACTTTCATAGTGATTTCCAACACCTGCGGGCAAGATGGAAATCCTCACAACTGAGCCAGTGCACAAACCATGCCTTGCCATTTAATATGCAATTTGATAACAACTTGATATCTGATATATATTTCATCAGATGATTGATTAGTACACGAAAAATGTGACTTAATGAATCAAACTAGAGATTAAAATGAATATATGGATTCTATACATACCTTATAGGTCATCTGCAAATGTAATGCATTACTAACACGAAACTCAAACTCCCACTGGTCTGCAACATCGTTACTTAATTTGCAAATCAATACTTAAATCATATTTTTGAAAATATGCCTTTGGGAATAGCCTTACTCAGTCAATGAATACATATTACCTCAATGAAAGGTACAACTAAGCACGAAAGCATTCACCACTGTTACACAAAACATGCATCCAACAACCATCTTATATGTATTAATAAGTCCACATTTATGCTAAGTCCTTATGAGCCTCAAAACAAATGATCAACCAAGAAATCCAAATGATTGCAAATAATAGAAAAATGTACGCATATATCAAGTATCCATTCGTGCAACTTAAACATATTATAGACATTCGAGTAACACAAATTCATGAAAGATAGAATAATGCTTTAATAGATTCATGCAAGTCCACTTAATGCTCAAAATTTTAGAACAACTCCTACTAAGTTTTCAGAGTTTATACTTGCAAATAAGTTAATGAGTGTGAAGTCCAATTTTCGTTCACTAATTCTCCCACTTGGGCAAACACTCTTTCAAAGATGTACCTAAATAAAATTGCTTTATATTTTGGACATAATAAAATAGACATTACAACGAACATAAAATTGTCAAATAGAATTTCAGCAATGAGTTACACTTACTTTAGAATTTATCATAATTAATTTACATGCTTGATTGCTACCAACGTTATACTGATCAAAATACACATACTAATCTTCATAAAATAAAAATATAGAGCCGTTTTGGTTCAAAATAGTAGTCTAAAGTCACATCTCAAAAAGACCAACACAATCTGCTAGTAAAACTGCCTACACGAGCATGGGTTACTAGTAAATTCACCATAATTAAAATACATGGAAAATTTTTTTGAAAATTTGTAGACACATATTAGACATCTATTTGTTAAACATATCCAATTGGTGACCATTAGACATGTCATTCACCCGATTTCAATCAAGATACGTAATCTACCAGAAACAATTATGTGCATCTATCATGAATTTATGCATCCATAACAAATTCAATTTCATATCATTTCAATTTCGATGTCCAAAGGAAACTTTAGTAGTCAAATTTCGTCCTCTAAACTGACATCATAGTTCAAATTGAAAAGATTTACAAGCATAAGATTAAAACAATGCGTATCTTAGCAATCTTTGATTAACCTTCATGGGTCCAATACTTTGCATCAACAAGTCTCATGAAGAGATACAAAATACATCATGATGCAATTGATTTCCATGCCTTCAAACCACAACCTTTTATGGGGCTCATTGTGGAAATATTTGTCACTAATGGCATGGAACTTTATCCCAATAAACTTCAAGAAACTAAATTAATTTACACTTGTAGGCAAGAAAATTAACTAGTTTCTAGTTCTAGATTTTACGTCACAAAAGTACCTTCATGAAAAACTTCAACACATGTAGGCAAGATGAAGATTTTCACAACTTCGGTGAAATAAAACCCATACTCTGCCATCTTAATTAAACTAAAAGAAGTAATCCACACCTGTAGGCAAGAAGATTATCCCTTTTATTCTAATTAAGATGCAAAGTTGACTGAAGTAACTCAAAAACATAGTCCCATCGTCAACTAAGCCATTGCGTCTTGCTTAGTTGAAAAGGCATTGGTCAACTCCGCCCTGAAACAATACCAGAAGTCACATGGATTAATTAATTGTAAGTGACAAAATTATGATAACTTGATTCGAGCTTCGAGTCTTGCCAACAAATGGCACTAATTCCTTCTTGACTCCCTTTGACATTAAATTAATCTCAAAAACCTGACAACATACTTGAAGGAGATTAATCACATACAGAACAAGTTTTCACCACAAGAATGTCAATACTTATCATTATGGAGTCAATTACTTAATAGAAATACTTTATGTAATGGGAAAGAACAATACATTCCTTTAATTTAAAAGTTAAATCGCTCAAATGTTTTCTTAAATCAAACATGTTCCTTTCCTTTTATATATTTCTTTCCGTAACACAAAACTACTAAACATAGCATTAAAATCATGCATTAGCTTTGTAAATATCAAATTAAATAAAAGGAACAACCAAAATTATTTTCTTCCATAGAAAACATCTCCAATATGTGCCGTACATTAGCCTTGAAAAGTTTCTTTTCTTCTCCCCTTATGACACATAAAAATTTACTAATCAAAGCACTGTTTAAATTCTTTAGGCATAGGAAAAACCACAAACAATAATACATGTTTGAAATTCATGCTTATCAATTAAGTCACATATTTTGAATGGATTACATACCTCATGCCTTCATATGTTCACCACTTCTTTGTAAACATATATATAATCACACGACCAACCATAATTATTATATAAAAATAGATAAAAATACAAATGAGAATTGTCACATTACTACAAACCTTATTCATTTGTATAATACCCTTGTTCTTGTCACTAGATGCTTTCTGTCATTCTCAGTCACTCCATAAGTTATGCATCAATATCATGTACAATTAAATGACTATACTGAGATAGGAAAGCAAAATTGTAGACAAACCTGACTGATTAGTCACATATATTTCTTGTGCTATTAATGGCATTAAAGTTTATTCACATATCGTGAATATTAGTGGAAACAAAACTACAATTCATTATAGTCCAAAACCCACGGCAATATTAAAAATATGTCATCTCATGACACACCCTGACCAAAATCAGGGCGTGTTGGCCGTCGCATGAGAGTGACGTAACCATGTGCACAATGCGGAAGCTAAGAATAAAAATAAAAGTACGAACAAATAAAAACCAAGCTACACACAGGGTAGTTAACATACATGTGCAAGCGTAAGTGTGAAAAATAATATTCAGAGCACAGAAAACCTAGTGCAGTCCAGGGGAACAAACACTAACAAAACACACCCAGAGGTGGTCCTACACTGGTGATAATCTGTCAGATATGCCGTGAATCCCTTGAGAGCCACCAAAAGAGCAATCCAAACTAGAACCTGGATGGGCGCAAAACAGAAAGTGTGAGTGGGCAAAAATAAAGCTTTTCAAAATCATTTCATTAACAAAAGTTCTAACCTATCGTCGTAAAACCTGTATAGTTTCCCAGAAATAGAATATACACATATATCCAAAACATGCTCAGAAATATGCCATGTCGAATGCCTCTACATAAACTGTAAATAACCCAGGTAATGTTAATCAAGGCAATGTAATCTGTCAGCTGGAATCACCTAACGTGACCTGTACGGCTAAATCTAGAACTCAAATCTCCAACTTACTAACTATACCTGCACACGAGTCAGAACCACCTATAGTGGTTTGTACGACAGGACTGGGTGTAAATAAGTATGCTCAAGTGCTACGATCATGTGAAGACTGGGCGAATAATCGCGGGTCACCTAGGAGTCGGAACCACCTATAGTGGTCTGTACGACATGACTGTGCACCTAACTTGGATCCAAGATGAGCGTGTGGTGCGGGAGATAAACATCACGTGAAGAACTGTGCCTACTCTGGGCAGGAGCACTAACACCGGGGGTACATGTTATAAGCTCTTTATGCATCTCACATCACTACTAATCACAACATAAACCATAACTTACCTGGCACTTACCTGTGCGTCCGCAGCACCAAACATACATATATGCAACTACTAATGCACAATTAAATAGGCAAACGCAATGCATGACATTTAAAACATATAAACGTTTCATTTCATTTTCTATGAAAATCACAAGTATATAGGTATATACGGAAAACCAAAAGCCCACTCACTGGTAAGTAGAAGGGTCGTAACCCCCTTGCCTCGAGTGACTGCGCTCGTCCTCGCGATAGGTCTCACCTATATGCGAAACAACTATAAAAACATTAATTTAAAGCACATAACCAAAACTAGGTAATAACTTCTCATACAATGCTCAAATGGGGTGTATGAATACACCAACGTGATCTACTTAACCTCATGAACATCCCCATATTTTTAAAATAATTTTTCGACGTCACAAGCGCCCCACGCGCCGCCAAGGCACGGCCACACGTGCTGCTCACGCGCAGGCGCGTGCCTGGCACACTGACAGCGTCCATTAATGCCATTAGGAATATTCCATTAAAACTAACAGATTCCGTTAAAGTTAACCTAACACTATTAGGAATATTCCGTCGTCTTCTCCGACCAACCTCCGGCGCCGTCGCCATCGCCGGAAAACTGGAAAATTTTCTAATCTTTGTTTCTCACTCGTTATTCAACCAAATTCCACAAAATTGGTACCAAAATGAAGCTTACAACAAATAGAACAAAACCTTACCACTTTCAAGCAGTGAAACCAACGGAATCTCGCCGGAGAAACTTCACAAAATCTGGCCAAACCTGCCACTCACAATCCTGACGTCCAAAACCTTCAAACGAACCACCCCGAGCTTCTTAAGGACCTCACCAAGCTTCCTATAACCCTGAAATTCCCAAAAACACATGATTTTACGTGTGCATGAATAGTACCCCGAATCGAACATCTCGGGTTCGACGTGAAAACAAAGGTTTCCTTACCTGAAATGGGTATGGTTGAACTCGTATGAACCTCACGAACACAAAGGTAAAGTTCTTTACTTTGATCCGCAACGTTTTCGAGTGTTTTGATCCTTGTCCGTACGAAAAACGTAGAAGGGAGAGAGAGAGAGACACGAGACAAAAAGAAGATGAGGATGAAGGTGTGTGTGTGTGTGTGTGTGTGTGTGGTCCAAATGCTGCCAACCAAAACCCCAAAAACCAACACACACGAAACATAACCACTAGGGGCAAAACCGTCATTTTACCCCTACGGTACGAAAAATCCGGAACGAGCTGTCACATCTCATGCTTGAACCAAATTAACCATACAAGCAACACTATACGCGCCATTTGCTTAACAAATGTTGCCAAAATATGTATGACTTACTTTCATGTATAGGAATTTTATCAAATTCATTAACAGACATGTACATAATTGACATGTATAAAACTTAGAGTATGCTTCCCTGCAACACAACTGCAATATATGTTATTACAATCATAGGCAAAACATATCCCAATAGTATTGATAAATTATAGGATATGACTAATTCTGTCTCCTACAATCAGAAAGACGTCACGACATGGTTGGATTTTGCAGGAACAATATAACACTTCATGAATCCAACATAACCATTCCTTGTATAATTTATCATGAAGACCAAAAGGAAAGATCGTACTAGAATTTCATATACCGATGTAATACTAACCTCTTCTTTGGCCTTGTTCGACTGAGGGATCTTAAGAAATTCTCCAATGCAAGGTTAGAACAAATGTAAATACATACACAAGCTATGCGAACTGTAGATACATAATTGGCTTTAGAAAATTATGTATACTTGCTTGATCAAACAATTGCTAGCACTTATGCAATTGTTTCTTGTCACATTAACGTATCACCCGTAGCAATTCATGGAAAATAATATTAGTTCTTAATCAATAAGCATATGCCCATGTAGATACGTATTGCCAAAATATGTAAAAATTGGATCCATATTCATGACATACTTAACCGATACATTGTAATCAATGTATGTACATGCTCTACAATAATTAGCACATCACTCATGCAATTATATCTTTATCTTATTACCAATTTAAGCTTTCAGGGATCAACCCAAATATATATCAACCAAAATACCATAAACCATTATGGAAATCAAAAGTCAATGAAACAAACCATTTTGCTTTGGTAGATGACTTCGTTCTGCTTGCTAATCGGAGGGACCTCTTCAGTAAGGTCAGAACAAATATAGCATGCTTACAAAAATTGAGATCATCAGTGGCACATGGTAAATCAATTCAACCAAAACAATAGCATGAAGATTGAAATAGAACAAAACTGTTATTCTTCTCAGTGCCATGGTTTCCACTGTAAAATACATAATATAATATCACGCCTTACATATATGCTTCTTTACGTTCCTATATGAATATAGGATTCCAATTCCTATATGGTTTTTAAATTTCATGCTACAATACTATAAGAATATTATATAAATTCTATGCTTCAATTCCATAATTTAATTCATGCTTGATCAAAAGCGCCTCTAAGCGTAGTCCAATTTCCAATTGGCAAGCAAAGCTATGTGGTTATATGTGATACAACCGCATACAATATTGTGGATTCGTGTGCTATAATCAGGCAACTTGTCTTGCTGATAATAATCAGGGTATCAATTAGCATAGTTCTTAATAAATTTCCCTTGACTGCAACCATAATATTAGTGAAAAATATTCTTGATTAAAACTGAATAATTATGCAACCTGATCATAATCAACAATTGAACTGATTCAAATAGTATGGTGATGTTGCCGAGTATATGCAATGACAATTTGGATTAAACACGCAGTTCAAGAGAATATTATATAATCCAACATTAAACCTAATAGGTTTTAATTATATAACCAGTGGCTCTAATACCAACTGTTAGTCTTATAAGGTTATACAATTAAAACACAAATGAATGAGCGACTGACCTGATTTCAATGGCGGGCATGGAAGTCGAACACAAAAGTAGCAGAGCACGGCAACACCAAGATCTTCTATAAACACCTAGCTGAATACAACTACTCTATGAGAAGTATTATGTTGTGTGTTCTAGGGCTTATAGGGACCCTTGTTTTTATATAGGCTAAAGGTTAGGGTTTCCATCCATAAAGGAAACCTAAACTTACTTTGTTAGCCTCCAAGTGAAGTATCATAATCATTTTTAATTAAGGATTCCATCAATCCTATTTCCAATATAAGACACCTTATATAGGATTGATATCTTTAAGAGATCAAATCACAATCAGCATTATTCTCTAATATTACATTCCTATTACATGTAATAGACCATTTAAAGGTTGATTTATATTGGATAAATCCAACAATATTCTTTTGAGGTGATTAGATTGTTAAAAAAAAAAAGCATAAATTGTGAATTGTTTTAACAGATAAAGTCTTCTTCTTCAATCAACTGTATTCAATATTCATCATTTTCTCACTCTTCTTAGTATAGATTAAAGTGGTACTATTAGTTGTAATAAAACAATTCAAATGACCAAAAAAAAGAGAACAACCTCATTACAAATACTGACTATTATTTTATTGATTGAAAATAAATAAGAGCACTTCATATTTGTCAAGAAGGCTACATAATTTGCCAAAATTTCTTCTTACACAAAGAATGAATCCTAAACAAACAAGAAAGCAATTGTAAACCTAGTAAATAGTAGGAAAATAATCATTATTCGTATCCTTATCAGATAAAAAAGCAATCATATCTATATTGAGTTGAATTATGCTCGGAGCCATGTCAACTAACAAATTAACATAAAGATATAAGCAATTACAACGACATCATACTCTGACTTTGCAAGCTATAAGCAATTACAACGACGTATCATGCTTTTGGAAGATGCTGAAAATCTCAGGCCACAAAATCCCACTACAAGATTCACTCACCTACCCCAAAACATTTTCCTTCTAAATCGATTGATATTGATCTCTCGTGTGTTAGTGGGGCGAGAGGCTTTGTCATCTTTCTTCAAATATACACTTCGAGTGACAAATGGAGTAATTCCTACATATACATATAATCAATCATATATGCATGCTTCCCTGTCTACTTTGCGTGAGTGACCATTTCGAGCTTAGCTTGCATGCACTATGGCTCCCTCAATCATATCAATCTCAGGAAATCGGATCACGAACACGAAGACAAAAAGAAGAAGACAAAATGGTTCAATTTATGAGAGAGAAGAAGAGAAGCAGTAGAAGAAGGTAAACATGTAAAAAGTATGACTGGACATTTTTATCACATTTTTATCCTTGCATCTAACAAATCTGGGAGTTTCACTTTGGATTAAATTTGCTAACAGTATGTTACCACGAGGATTTAAATCTTAATTTTTTAACACAGACAATCTTGCGAATGCTCTATTACCATGAGGATCATTAATCTGATTTGACCTATACATATAATCAATCATACATGCTTCCCTGTCTACTTCGCGTGAGTGACCATTTAGAGATTAGCTTGCATGCACTTTGGCTCCCTCAATCATATCAATGTAGGTGTGACGATCTCATCTTACCGAAGCAGCATCAGCATGGGATCTCTCTTTGTGTTACGTGCATATCTTTTTTTGTTTTGTGACAACAAATTTTTTCATTTTATGCAACGATATATTTACGTTAAAGGTGGAGGAATAAATTGGTATAAATTTGTCATCCACAAGATTTAAACTTAAGGTCTCTCCCTTCCAAGGTGAAGATAGATACTAGTTTCAGATAGGGCCAATGTTCCTATTAATCGCATCAGTATTGTTTCAACTTAACTGCTTGCATAGCTCGTCAGGTGTTCACAAAATGCATCAATGTTATTAGTAGTAGAATCATATATTTATAAGTTGTAATACATTATGTCAAGTTTCCGAGCTGAGTTTACATTTTTAAACGAATACAACTAGAACGTAGGATTAAATGGCTTACAAAACGATATTTTAAACAATTTTAATTTATTAAAAGGACGATTTTAATTTGTGTTAAAGAGAAAAGACGTTGTTCTGATCAACTAACATAATTTACGTGTTATTTGCATTAGTTGGACACATGGCATATTTAAAATGTAATGATTATGACATATGACTAAATGTTATACTTATATATGTAGTTAGTGCACTCATATGAAGGATGCAAAATAGACGGTGGAAAACTTCGTGCGTGGCTAGGCCTTACTTAGTGCTATACGCCTAATCATCAATCAATCATATGATTCATTAGTGTGTGATGTTCAAAATACGTGGCATGCTAATACATTCTTATTAATCCAGATGCGGAAATACAGGTTGCCATTTGGAAACGTTTTGGGCATGAGTTGCAGGGAGCTTAAATTCCACTCAAACTGTAATTCTGGTTAAACTCTAATTTGTAAGTACGAGGACTTCAACTTGAGTGCATACCATCCTAAACTACTCAACTAACCATTTATAAGTGCGTAACTTAATCAATGATCTTTCTGTGTGATCGAATAAGCAGCGAATATGCTGAGACTGGCAAGTTAGAGCAACTTGTTTTTAACAGTGCTGAAAGTATCTATAATACATATTTCGAAGGTTACCACACGCACAAATTTCTTGATAGGCTTTTTATCCCATGCGCAAAATGGTTAAAAATACCTATAATACTTGCAAGAATGATAAGGATGTTGCATTATAAATAGTTCTAGCTAGCAAGGTCGTTCTCCACAAAGATTATTAAATAATTCGTACCAAACCAAATTTCAGTTAGGACTCGTTTGGATGTGCTTTTAAAATGATTGAAAGTGTTTTTAGAGAAAATATTTTGGCGTTCCAAAAGCACTTTAAGTGCTTTTTACACGAAGCATCAATTATGTGCTTCTAGTAGGAAGCACTTTAAGTGCTTTTCTAGGGTTTACTAACATTTTTACTAAGGATTGTTTTCAAAAATATTTTCACCAAACATGCTTTCAGTCATTTTAAAAGCACATCCAAACAAGCTCTTAATTATTGTAAAACAAAGATTTAGGATGATTGATTTTATTACCTAATTAAATAAAAAACGAATTTAATAACAGAGACTAGAACAATCTGCAATGTTAAAGATGAGGAAAAAGGAATAGTCTTTAGAAATCAAATTGAGAAAGCACTAGGAATCCGCCGTTACCTTAACAATCCTATATAGTTCTTCTAATTACTTATGACCTATAGATGCATATTTCGAAGGTTAGGTTTTCCTAATATATGCCTACTTGGACCTCAAATATAGAATGTATATCAAACATGCAATCCGTTTGTAGTATTTAGATCAAATCTAAACATGCATGACTCATTAAGTTTTGTGAAACCTTTTGAAAAACCATGCAACCCTTAAGACGTGGTATTCATCCTAAGTGAACTTGCACATATTAACCACAAGAAGTCTTCGTCAATTTCAGGGACCGACCTCCGACCAAAATTGCATCAAATTACTTTTCTAAATATCCTAATGGTCGCGAATCATCAAGACACTTAGATAGTTTAGACCGATGATTAATAATTCAAAGACCTGCATGCACATAATCATAAGTAAATTGAAAAGAAACTACATATTCATACCAAGACTCATGGCCTCACCCTAGCAAAAAGAGAATTAGTTACACATATTCATAACTAAAATCAACATAAATTGTATTGAAATAATAAAAGATCGAAAACTCCTTGAATGTAATAGTCTGAAAAATCTCTACGCTAGGCCAATTTCCTCTCTCAAAACTGCACAGAGAAGAAGTCCAAGAAAAATAAGGCCGGCCAAGCTGATTTAACCTACTGATTAAATTAAATCCTCCTAATAAAAGGTCTTCCAACAAGACTAGGAAACCAAATAAATAAAATAAAATAAGAAACATAACCGTAAATTAAATGGTAAAATTCGCCTGAAAATCTGTATACCCACATTTTGGCCCAAAATTCGCCTAAAATTCGCCTGAATATCTACTCCAAAAATGGCCCAAAATAGCTAGATTTAAAGCTTGGAATATTCTGAACACTTCTCCAGAAGGCCACGAACCGAGAGGTCATCTTGGGTTCCAAAAATCGCAATTAAGCCCAGAAACGTCACTTTACAACACCATGCATTGCTTCTTTAATCTATCGCCAGAAAATAACCACTTGGGAGAAAAATCTTAAATTTTGACACGAATAGGCCAAGAGACACATGAACGTCTACCAATTTGAATCATTCTAAAATTCGTCCGTTTGATCACGTTTTGCTCTAAAGAAAGTCAAATATCCTATATTGAAAATATAAAGTAAAATATCAAAATTCTACCAAAATAATTACCAAAACATACTAAAAATAGGGTGAAATATATAATATGAAATTACTCATCACTGGCTAAGCTAGTTTATGTGACAGAAGCCAGAAAATAGGCAGTGGAGTGGTTGACTGGACAGGGTATATGTTTGGGACTCAAAACAAAAACTAGTTACCTACAAGCTCTCTGCACTTGTGTTCCTTGTATGCATGCAACACTTGCATTTTTCTTTCTCTGAAATTATTAGTCTTAAACATGAAAATTAACTTACTGAAATCACCAACACAACTCAAACTGCATTCTGACCGCACATCGTTAAATTCCAAATATTGAGTTCCACGTAGATACTTAACTAGCAAAAATGACCATGTGGTGCTGTGAGTTTTAAGACCTTTTATATAGTTGATATCAAATCCCATTTAACAAAAGGATAACAAAGTAGCTAATTTATGATAAAAAAAAGAAACGGTATCTAGACCCAAATGAGAATACATGTTGCTGCCAAAAAGTGTTAGAATACTCAATTGTATTCATAGATAGCATAGATGACAGAAGTAGATGAAAATTAGTGCATGCATAAAAACTGTCGTAGCAGTTGTTGATCATTTCTAGTTGTCACAGCCCAATACATTCAAGTATCCAGTCATCTATTTCTTCTCCCATTACCCAACTGGGCTTTAACATTTTCACGTCCACATGTATCTACGCAAACATGGCCTGAAACAATCATCTGCTGCGAATCAAAAAAGAAACAGTGGACAACTAAATCCAATCGGACATCCGGAGACGGAAGGCGGAAGAAGAGCAAAAAAGTGTTATATTATATGACAGGACATGTATGCACGTTCGAGTTATTTGTGCTGACTACAACTTCCTGCATGTTGTGTTATACATATCACCCTTTTAAGTTACATAAAAATAAGATTATACTTATTCCTCAGCCTAGAAATCATGGAAATCCCGCAACAAACTCTTCTAGTAAAATTTTTGACTCTCTCTCCAATCTTTCATAGATGGTTATGGATTGATTAATGGTAGACAGTGCACGATGATCCAACGTCTGACTAACAGTAAACTTTCTTTACTCATAAGTTTTCAAGAGAAAATGCAGTGAATCAAAATCATATGGATTTTTCAGAAATCCAAATCGTAACCTAAATCCCAAATCACAGCCCCCAATCCAGATTGAAATCCAACTCAATAGAATGAAAGTTCAAAGTAGATATTCGAACTCAAAATCGAGCTCAAATCGAAATCAAAAGAAAATTCAATGTATAAATAAATAAATAAATAAAGTCACATTAATCATAGTTCAAGAAGTCAAGTTTAGGTCATTAAAGGCTACTAACTGAGCTTAGTGACCTGTTAGCAAAATGGTCACTAGATTCATAGCATTAGTGACCTTTTTCATATGCTGACTAAGAAATTAGTCACTACAGGCCTGTTTTCTTGTTGTGATTGGGTTCTTCTC